CACAAGCCAGCCCTTCCTCTGAGGGGCAGCCTTTGTGTTATGGACTTGGGCTTCCCCAGGAAAGTGCCCCACTTGCCTAAAGCAGCTCTGCCTGGACTCAGAACTGTGACGAGAAAATCACATGCATGTTTCAAGGGTTTCCTATGCCCTGTGTTGTCCTACAAAAATGAGTAGGAGTGTGTTGACCACACACAAGATGCTCTAACACCACCGAGTGCACCCTCACACAGTTGAGATGAACCTGGACCGTGGACAGGCTGAGTGGCCCAAGGATCTGGCTCCCTGGAGGAAGTTACATGGACAGCCTTCTCTAAGAACCTGGCCAATGCCTCCCAGACAGCCTGCTCCACTGCCTCTGTTCCAGTTCCATCCAAGCGTGGGATTTCATTAAGCAGGAACTAGGCAGCCCCAGTAGTGCCCTCTACCCAAGGAAATCACGCTGTCCTGACCTGGCCATCAAGCAGACAGACCTGTCATCCATCACCTTTACTGGTTCCATTAAAATACATATTAATAAGTTGGCTGATACACAGTTCACCAACTTAAAGCATGACATTCGTTGGTTTTTGGTACTACATTCAGAATTGTGCAGCACTATCAAAATCAATCTTAGAACATTTTCTCTTTTTTTTTTTTTCTTTTTTTTTGAGATGGAGTCTCATCTCGCTCTGTAGCCCAGGTTGGAATGCAGTGGCATGATCTCAGCTCACTGCAACTTTCACCTCCCAGGTTCAAGCGATTCTCCTGCCTCAGCCTCCCGAGTAGCTGGGACTACAGATGTGCACCACGGCTCCTAATTTTTGAATTTTTAGTGGAGGCAGGGTTTCACTACGTTGGCCAGGCTGGTCTCAAACTCCTGACCTCAAGGGATCCACCTGCCCAGGCCTCCCAAAGTGCCGGGATGACAGACGTGAGCCACTATGTACAGTCCCATTTTACAACATTTTCATCACGCCAAATGAAAACTCCATTTTCCCCACAGCATCTTTGGCCCTTGACAATCACTCATCAACTTTCTACCTGAAGTAGGCTAAATAACAGTACTTAGAAAGATCAGGTCCTATTCCTTGAAACCTGTAAATGTTACCTCATTTGGGAAAAGGGTCTTTGCAAGTGTGGTGAAGTTAAAGATCTTGAGACAGAGTGTTATACAGGTGGACCCTAAGTGCAATTGCCACATAAGAGGGAGGCAGAAATTCGCACACACACAGGAGAAGGCGATGTGAAGATGGAATATAGAAAGAATCTACTCTGTGATGCTGGCCTTGAAAGACTGGAGTGATACAGCCACAAGGCAAGGAGTACCAGCAGTGACCAGAAGCTGAAAGATGTGAGAAACAGATTCCTCTACTATAGCCTCCCTGCTGCCACTGTGATTTTTGCCCATGGTACTGACTTTGAGAACTTCTGGTCTTCAGAATTGTGAGAGATTAAATTTCTGTTCTTTTAAGTCATCAAGTTTGTAGGAACTTGTTAGAGCACTCACAGGAAACATATGCATTTTTTTCCTACCAGGAGTGGGGTGCCTAAAAATGTGGCAGTGGCTTTAAAATTGGATAATAAAGCAGCGATGGTAGAATTGTGAGAAATCATGATAGAAAAGGCCTAGGTTGCCTTGAAGAGGCTGTTGGTAGACATGTGGATGTTAAAGACTCTGTCACCCATACTCTGCCCTAAAGGAATTGAGGAACTTAATAGAAAGCCTGTGTGTTATTTTCAAGAATACATACTGTCATAAACAGAATGTTGGTAAACACATGAACATTAAAGGTGATGATTCTAAGGGCACAGAGGAAACAAGGAACATGTTACAGGAAACTAGAGCAAAGATGTTCTTTGCTATAGAATAGCAAAAATTTAGTTGGATTGTGTCCTACAGCTGTGTGGAAGGCAGAATCATAAGCAATGAGCTTGCATATTTAGCTGAGCAGACTTGCAATCAAAGCACTCAAGACTCAGCTTTGTTTCTTTTTCCCACTTATAGTAAGTGCAAGAGGCAAGAGATAAATTGAGGTAATGTAAAGAATTTAAAAGTACAACGAAATAGATAAACTGAGGGAAGAACTCTTATGCCAAAAAGAACCTAGACTTGATAATTTGGGAAATTCTCAGGCTATTCACATTGGAAAAAACCAAAATGCTAAAACTAGGAGATCCAGTTAGGAAAGTGTGTTCTGTAGAGAATGCCAATGGTGTGACATGCCTTGCAAATTTTCCTAGTGCCAAAGATATTAAACATGGGACTCATGAATCCCCTCAATCACCTCACAGAAGTGAAGCAAAGAGACTAAATTATCTAGGAAAGATCGGTGGAGAAACCTCATCTAACGCCATGAATTCCATCATATACGCAGAAATTCTACAAGGATTTTAGAATGTTCTATGAGAAGAAACAGTGCCATCTTGGACTAGAAAGTTTACAGACTAGACAAAATCATAGAAAGTTTAGAGACTAGACAAAACCAAAGAACTCCCAAAATTTAGAGGCAGAAAATAGGCTGATAAAACTACTCAGCCTCAAACACGTGCTACTCTTTAAGGAAAGATGACCATGAGAGCAGAGTCATGGGGCTCAGAGGCCAAAGCCATGGACCCAGAGATAGGAGTCTCCAACTTTATGGTATCTTGTTATGGCAGCCATGGGAAACTGAAACAGTATTATATAGAGTATCCACCTTTGGCTTTTTTTTTTTTTTTTTTTGATGGAGTCTTGCTCTATTGCCCAGGCTGGAGTACAGTGGTGCAATCTCGGCTCACTGCAACCTTCGCCTTCTGAGTTCCAGTGGTTCTTTTGCCTCAACCTCCTGAGTAGATGGGACGACTGCTGTGCACCACTATGCCCGGCTGATTTTTGTATTTTTAGTAGAGATGGGGTTTCACCATATCGGCCAGTCTGGTCTCAAACTCCTGACCTCATCATCTGCCTGCCTTGGCCTCCCAAAGTGCTGGGATTACAGGTGTGAGCCACTGTGCCTGGCCTCTTTGGAAATTTTATAAAAACGCAACATGGTCTTTTGTGACTGCTTCATTTATGTAATGCTTTAAAGCTTCATCCATGTTGTAGCATGTGTCAGTCATACATTCCTTTGTGTGGCCATATGATATTCCATTATGTGGAAATTCGACACACTGTTCATCCATTCAACAGCTAACAGACATTTGGATTGTTTCCACTTTGTGCTATTACGAATGATGTTATAATGTACAACAGTCTGTGTATGTTTTTGTGTGGACATGGTTCCTTTCCTCTTGAGTATATACCTAAGAGTAGAAAACGTCTGGGTCATACAGTAACTCTACATTTAATTTCTTGAAGAATTGTCATACTGTCTTCCACAGCAGCTGTACCATTTCACATTCTCTCCAGCAATGTATGAGAATTCCAGTTTCTCTGCTAAGTGTGGTGGTTCACACATGTACTCCCAACACTTTGGTGAGGCTGAGATGGGTGGATCACCTGAGGTCAAGAGTTCAAGACCACCCTCGCAAACACGATGAGCCCCCATCCCGGTCTCTAGGAAAAATACGAAATTAGCTAGGTGGTGTGTGCCTGTAGTCCTAGCTACTCGGGAGGCTGAGGCAGGAGAATCACTTGAAGCTGGGAGGTGGAGGCTGCAGTAAGCCAACATTATGCCACTGCACTCCAGCCTGGGTGACAGAGAGGGGCTCCATCACAAGGACAAAGAGAATTCCAATTTCTCTACATCTTTGTCAATACTTATTATTGTCTACCTTTTTTTAAATCACAGCCATTACAATAGGTACGAAGTGGCATCTCATTGTGGTTATTTGCAATCCCCTAATGATGCTGAGCATCTTTTCATGTACTTCTTGGCCATTTTTATCTCCTCTTTTTTGGAGATACTTATTCAAATATGTTGCCCATTTTTCAGTTGCATTTTTTTTTTTTGGTGTTGAGTTGGAGAAGTTCTTTACGTATTCTGGATATTAAACCCTTACCTGATATGTGAGTTGCCAATATATTCTTGTTTTCCTTATTTTGGCAATGTCTTATGATGTACAAATTTTTTTTTTTTTTGAGACGGGAGTCTTCCTCTGTCACCCAGGCTGGAGAACAGTGGCCGGATCTCAGCTCACTGCAAGCTCTGTCTCCCGGGTTTACGCCATTCTCCTGCCTCAGCCTCCCGAGTAGCTGGGACTACAGGCACCTGCCACCTCGCCTGGCTAGTTTTTGGTATTTTTTAGTAGAGACAGGGTTTCACCGTGTTAGCCAGGATGGTCTCGATCTTCTGACCTCATGATCCGCCTGCCTCAGCCTCCCAAAGTGCTGGGATTACAGGTTTGAGCCACCGCGCCCAGCCGATGTGCAAATTTTTAACTTTGATGAAGTCAAATTTATCTACATTTTTTGTTGCATGTGCTTTTTTGGCATCACATCTAAGAAACTGCTGTTGCCTAATCCAAGGTCATGAAGATGTATGCCTTTGCTGTCCTCTAACATATAGTTTTAGCTTGTAAATTTACATTTTTCACCCATTTTGAGTTAATTTTATGAAAAAAAAGTTGAAAATAATTAGCCAGGCATTGTGGTACACACCTATAGTCCCAGCTACTGAGGAGGCTGGGGTGGAAAGATCACTTGAATCCAGTAATTTGAGGGTGCAGTGAGCTATGATCACACCACTGTACTCCAGCCTGGGCAACAGAGCAACACCCTGACAAAATAAATAAATAAATAAATAAATAGCTGAAGGTAGGAAAATATCTCCATTCATCAGAGGCATGTGAGCATCTTTGTCCTCTCTTGCTCTCCTGGGGAACAGTTGGGCCTATCTTTTTGTCCCTTGATTCTAGCTGGTTGGTGGCTCAGCCCAGGCCTTCCTCTCTGATAAATCCCAAAGTGGCTGCCGTGTTCTGATGCCGTTTCAGCCTCCCTAGTCCCTGAGTTTCACCTTTGTTCTCTAATTAGGGTTCAATTCTGTACAAATAGTTTCCAAACTGCAAACCAGAAACACATACTACTTTTCCATAATACTATGTTAAGTGCAAAACAGGTATTTAATTTTAAATGGCCCAAGTAAGCAAATGTCCAGAAATACATCCAGTTCCCGTAAATATATCTCCACACTGCCCCTCTAGGTGCTGACACAGAGGTGCCAGGACCCCTGTCTTCTCATTCAATGGGTGCCAAATCTTCTTGAACCTTCCCTTCAGGAAGTTGGCTGGAACGTTTGGAGATGCCATTATCACTATCGCCTATCACCCCCAGGCATAGCTATTTTTGTATCCCTGAGTCTCCCTTAGACAGAGAGTAGTCCCACCCATAGAAATTAAGGTGTTAAGGAATTAAAGTGAGTGTTGGGTATCTTTTGCTTTCAAAGGTTCGGGAGTCAGTAAGAGATGTGACTAAGAGCGTGGGCTCTGTCATCAGCAAAGTGACATCCTAAGCAAAACAGTATCTTCATGCCTGAGTTTCCTTGCCTGTAAACTGGAACGAATGGTATTGCAACTGAGTAGAGATCAAATGAGTTCACACGCATGAGGCATGCAGAACAGGGCCTTGCAGGCAGACATCACTGTACAGTGCACAAATGGGGTCCGGCTGTGAGAACTGGAGCCAGGCAATGAGAGAATAAGGACGGCTTTAACTTGGGGTGCTAACACCCACGCTGAAGGCATGAGCTCACTCCAGACAATTTCGTTAATTCCTTTAGACAAGTACACACAAGGCTTTCTTTGCTTTGGGGTATACACTAGACAGCCTGGGGTGCCCATTAGCAGCCTGGTTTCTTTTGCGATGGGCACCGCTGGACTCCGAAGCCTGCCAGGATTGCAATGGAAGGTCATCCTCCTCCTCCATGATCCACAACCTCCCAGAGTTTCTTGGGATCTGGAAACACAGAGAAATTACTTCTTCCTATCCTCTTCCCTGCTCATGGGTTTCACGTTTTACATTCATTCACAGTTGTTACAACAGGGTCTCAGACAGCAGGGGCACGTAACAAGTGTGCCCCAGCTGCATCTGACCCAGAGCGTGTCCTACCACAGTCCACCTGCTGAGCTGACCCTCACAGCACTAGCTGGCATTCCCTCCATGTGGAGCTTGAGCAGTAAGTATAAAGATGGCCACCAGACAACAATATCCCAGTAAGATGTCTGTCTCTGTAAAAGTGATGTAGAACATTTCTAACACAGCTCTTATAAATACTTGTCTTCCAATTAGACAGAGCTTCTTCCTGGAGTTAGGAATTTAGAACCAGCTTGATAAAAGAAAATGGACTAAAATCATTAAGGCACAGTGTGTGGGCTGCAGTAATTTGGGGGCCAAGGCAGAGCAAGCTGTCATGGGGAGGGGTAGGAGTTCTGCTTGATGCCTCCTTTGGGAGAGAAAGCTTAATCCTCAGGTGGTGGGAAGGTCTCTGTGGTAGCTAGTCTCCATGATGCTCCCAAACTGATCAACGGTCTGCCTGTACCTATAGGCTGCTGCTCTTATCAAAAGGTGGAGGTGAGTTACCCTCCCCTGAATCTGCACTGGCCTTCGAACTTACTGTTTTCAAGTGTTGTTCTAGGAGCTGTGAGGACTGGCAGCTGCCACTTCTTCCTCCTCTTGGAAGCCAGCTGCCATGTTGTAGGGAAGTCCGGCTACGCTGCTAAAGATACCACGTGGAGGCTGTGTCAGGAAAGTTGACGTGCAGCCACCTGAGTGAAGGCTATTATGGCCCTCCCGCCTGGCTGGAAGGGAAAACAGCCACATGGGAAGTCACAAGTGAGACCGGGAGAACGGCCCTGCCATGTAATCCCAGCTGCCCCAACTTCTGACCCACAGATGCAGGAAAAATAGTAACTCACTGCTTTAAGCCCCTAAGTTGTGGGGTAGTTTGTTATGAAGTAATTAACAATGCTGGATAAGTCAGTCTGCCTTTCAAAAATCTGAGATAGTTTAATAAGTCCTTACAAAACTTCATTGAATTGTAAGAAAATACCAACTAACAAAAACAATTTAAAATGTTATTTTTTTAAAAAATAGAGACAAAAAAACCAGAGTCAGTGTTGGCCAGGCACAGTGGTTCAAGCCTGTAATCCCAGCACTTTGGGAGATCAAGGCAGGTGGATCAATTGAGATCGAGTTCTCTACTAAAAATACAAAAATTAGACTGGCATGGTGGCGGGCACCTGTAATCTCAGATACTTGGGAGGCTGAGGCAAGACAATCACTTGAACCCAGGAGGCGGAGGGTGCAGTGAGCTGAGGTCTGACCACTGCCCTCCAGCCTGGGCAACAGATCGAGACTCCATCTCAAAAAAAAAAAAAAAGGTCAAGAGTGAAGGTCTCACCGTGTTGCCCAGGTTGGTCTTGAACTCATAGGCTCAAGCAATCCACCAGTCTTGGTCTCCTAAAGTTCCGGGATTACAGGAGTCAACCACTGCGCCTGGCCAAAAATTGTTAAAATTTTTAAATTAAAAAATCCCCCAAAATAGGCCAGGTACAGTGGCTCACACCTGTAATCCCAGCACTTGGGGAGGTTGAAGAGGGTGGGTTCTTTGAGGCCAGGTCAAAACCAGCCTGGCCAACATGGAAAAACCCCACCTTTACTAAAAATACAAAAATTAGCCAGGTGTGGTGCTGCAGGCCTGTAATCCCACCCATTCGGGAGGCTGAGGCAGGATAATCGCTTCAACCTGGGAGACAGAGGTTATAGTAAACTGAGATCACACCACTGAACTCCAGCCTGAAAAACAGAGCAACTCTGTCTCAATTTAAAGAAAAATTCCCCCAGATAATTTCAAATTACATATCTAATAAGAGACTTACATCCAAATGCATAAAGAACTATTAACAACCCAACAATGAAAAGAGTAACAACCCAATTTAAAAATGGACAAAGGATCTGAACAGACATACTTTCAAGAAAATATACAAATGGCCAAAAAGCACATGAAAAGATGCTCAACATCATTAGTCGCTAGTCAAATACAAATCAAAGCAATGAGACACCGATTCAATGGCTACAGATAAACGGTAACAAATACTGGAGAGGATGAGGGGAAACTGGAACCTCATTTAAGCTGCTGGTGAGAATTTAGAATAGTGCAGTTGCTTTGGGAAACACATAGCAATTCCTCAAAAGGTTAAACACAGAGGTACCGTATGACCCGGCAACACTACCCCAGGTATATACCCGAGAGAAGTGAGAAAACAGCCCCCACAAACACTTACACATCAACTGTTATTCTGCTTATTCATAATAAGCAAAAAGTAGAGACAATCCATATATCCACCAACTAATGAATGGCTATAATAAATGTGATATACACATTCATACATGGAATCTTTGACAATAAAAAGGAATAAAGTACATACCAAACATGCTTCATGGACCTTGAACCTTGAAAATATTATGTTAAGTGAAGTAAGCCAGCTGTAAAATAAAAACATGGACTGTACAATTGTATTTACATGGAAAATTCAGAATAGGAAAATCCATGCCAGTGAAAAGTGTAAGTGGTGGCTGAGAGTTGAAGGAAAGGGGAGTGTGTGACTGCTAACAGTTACAAAGTTCCTTTAAAAAATGCAGACTGGGCCAGACGCAGTGGTTCTCATCTGTAATCCCAGCACTTTGGGAGGCCGAGGCAGTCAGATCACCTGAGGTCAGGAGTTTGAAACCAGTCTGCCCAACATGGTGAAACCCCATCTCTACTAAAAATACAAAAATTAGCCGGGCATGGTGGCATGTGCCTGTAATCTCAGCTAACCAGGAGGCTGAGGCAGAAGAAATGCTTGAACTTTGGAGGCAGAGGCTGCAATGAGCCAAGATGGCGCCACTGCACTCCAGCCTGGGTGATAGAGCAAAACTTAGTCTCAAAAAAAAAAAAAAAAAAAAGTGCTGACTGGTCATGGTGGCTCACACTTGTAATCTCAGTACTTTGGGAGGCAGGAGGATAGATAAAACCTGGCAACATAGTGGGACTCTGTATCTACAAAAAAAAAAAAAAATTAGCCCGGTGTGGGGGTACATGTTGGTAGACCCAGGCCTGGGATCATGCCACTGCACTCCAGCCTGGGTTACAGGGACACTGTCACCAAAAAAAAAAAAAAAAAAAAAAGTTGTAAACTTAGGCTGTGTGGCTCACACCTGTGACCCCAGCACTTTGGGATGCCTAGGCAAAAGGTCTGCCATGAGGCCAGCAGTTTGAGAACAGCCTGGGCAACACAGTGAAGCTGCACTTCTATTTATTTATTTATTAATGAATATTCCAAAATTAGATTTTGATGACAGATGCAGAACTCTGTGAATATCCTAAAGACCACAGACACGTAAACCTTGAAGTGTGAATTACATAATGCTCTTAAAGAAAAAGCTTATCACATGCATGCATAGACAGAGCCCACTCCACCCACCTCAGCCCCTGTGCTCTTGCAGCTCTATCTTGCACACACAGGGGCACACAACTGCTTGTATGTTTCATTCATTTCTGGTAAAACGGTTCTGTTCCAGGGAGCACACACAGATGAAGGGAAGTGGTCACATCAGGCCCTCAGTGTGGTGCTGGCCCAGGGAGAGAGCCTATGTGGTAGAAACCCTTATCCTCTACTCCACCCGGGATGAATTCTTCTAGATAACTTAGCAAAAAGGGACAAGGATGCTTCTGGCTCATGCCTCAGGGCACTGTGGGGCTTCGGTAAGGACCCCTCGGAGGGGCTGAGAACAAACGAGATTCTTGCTCACGACACTGATCCCTTCCACAGGAGCAACTGGGGGTCTAAGTGAGCTCTCTGTAGGATTCACAGGGGCTCACCACAGATGGAAGGTGCTGGCTGTGAGGTCTGGGGCCAGAGGCTGGGCCTGCATCCCAAGTGTCCTCCCTGTACCATGGACACACAGGAGCACCCAGAGTGCTGCAGGCAAAGCCAGCTGTGCCTGTGATCAATGAGCAACCACCCCACTCCGACTCCTGGTGATCAACCAATGTGCAACGCCCCCACCCCGACTTCCTGTGATCAATCAATGAGCAACCACCCCACCCACACTCCCTAGGACCCCCCAGAGAAGGATTCCAGAGTCTGTGACACTCTCCTTTCCAAGCCTCTCTGGCAGAGGGGCTCCACCCGCTAAGGTCTTACTTGGGGCTTGGCCTTCAGGAACATGGCTCTCCATATCGTTGCTGGATTTACTGTGCGCCACGCTAGCTTTCCTCATGGCATTCTCGCTGAAACACAAACAGAGAAGAGAGGTTTGGTTACACCAGCGAGTCCAATGCTGCGGGGCCCTGGCCAACAGGTCCTGCAGAGCAGCTGCTCCTGGTAACAAGGTGCTGTCCTCAGCACACCAGTCTGGCTGAGGTCCAAAAGAGGCATGAAGGAAGGGGCACTCAACAAAGAGCAATGACAGGCCGCTGAGCCAGGGAGAGTGACCAGGATGATGAAACAGAAGGGACTGGAAAAGTGGTCACCATGGAGCAAAGAGGGAACCATGGCACGAAGGGGTGGGGGGCTAGTCCCTACATGATGAAGGAGGTATGCATTAGACTACGGCGGCAGCTGGTCTCTAGTTCCTAGTTCCTGTTCTCTTGAGTGGCCTGGATCCCCACCAACTCTGCCAGCATGGTAGGACCCAGATTTCTCCTCTGTAAAATAAAGGGGCCACGAGAAGTCATCATTCAGTCCCTCCCAAAGCAAGGGTTTGACCCTGTGTGGGACAACGCAGGTCCTATATGTGGGATCAGAGAGAAGCCCCAACTTCAACACCTTCTAGCTGGGAACAAGAGGAGAAAGAAGACAGAAACATGAAACGTTATCTTTAATAACATTTACCAACAATTCTGTACTGAGAGATGGAATCCTATGAAAGGTTTTTCATCACACTTCTGCTCCGCAGAGACAAAGAGCCATGTGCGTCAGTTAAGCTGGAGCCAGCTTGAATGCAGCCCACATTGCCCCTGACATTCACAGGGCAAGACGGGAACAGGAGTGCATCTGTTAGGAAGGCCTGGCCTGTGGCTCCCAGGGACTGGCTGCCCTGGTCTGCTCATGGCCTGCCTTCTTCCCAGGAGGAGAGGTCTCTTCCCTGCCTGGTCTCCGTGCAACAGCTTTGAGGTGGTGGGATGACCAGGTTGAAGAAATGTACTTGGTGAGCTGAAGGCAAGGCGGCACCAGACACCAGTGGATTTGCTGGTGGACAAGCGCTGTCCTCTCCTGGGTAACATCACAGATGACATGCACACTGTGGGCACCAACTGTCAGCAACACTGGGCTTACTCATAAAGAAACAAGCGAGTGTGCCAGGGCTCGGGGGCCTTGTCTCGGAGTGAACTGAATAGGCCCAGTCCAGCTGGTGCTAGAAATAATTCTGATCACTCCAAACAGTAATCAACCAACCCCAGGAAACAGAAGGACCATGCACACGGGGCTGCAGCAACACAACTGAGATTCCTCAAGACATCACAGAAAGGAGACTCAATGCTGAGACGCGCACACATCTGTCTTCATGTGAAAAGAAAAACAAAGCGACACTGTCCTACCCCTGCTCAATTCAAAAAGCATGCTTGCAGCTCCCACCTCCCTGGGTGCTTTCTGAAGCCTCAACTGAGGCGACAAGGCAGCAAGAGGTTCCTGCTCACCAGGCATCCATGGGTGAAACAGAAAAATAAGGGGAAAGGTCACTAGAGCCACAAGAGATGAGAGTTATCAGTTCAGGAGGATGAGAACCAGCTCACACACAGTGCAGGGTCAGAGTCCTGGTGAAGCCAGGCAGGGTAGGCTGGGAGGACCCTGTGCACATGGTCTGGGGCTGGCAAGGGGCAGGCTCTCCAAACCCAGAGGCTGAGAAGGGAGCTGCTAGGTCCCAGGAGTCACTGAGCATTTCTGATAGAAGTGGCTGCACAGACCTCTTTTCTGAAGGATGCCTCACCTGTGCCCCTCCCACCTCAAGAGCATACCTGTCTTTCTTCCCACCTTCCTTTTCTCTTTTGCTTTTTGAGACAAGGTCTCACTCTGTCACAGGTACAGCACAATGGCACAAACAGCTCACTGCAGTTGTGAACTCCTGGGCTCAAGTATCCTTCCACCTCAGCCTCCCAAATAGTTGGGACTACAGGCATGCACTACCACGCCTGGCTAAGTTTTTTGGTTTATACTTTTTATTATTTATTATTATTATTTTGGTAAAGACAGGGTCTTGTTTTATTTTCCAGCCTGGTCTTGAACTCCTGGCCTTCAGTGATCCTCCCAACTTGGCCTCCCAAACCACTGGGACCAATAGCAAGACTCAGGAGAGAGCAGCAGAAACAGCAGCAAAGCGGGACAATATAAAGGTTGGCTGTGTGAGGAGTGGGGAGGCCGTGGGGCACATGTGGCCAGGAGTCAGAGAGGGAGAGGGGTGCACAGGAGTCTGAGGGTGACATCCAGTTACACAGATTGGCTCTATGACCTACAGCAACAATTACGGAAGGCAAAGCCAGGCCTGATACAAAAGCAGTCTTTTCAAGCTGCTACTGGCTATTTTTGAGTGTGTCCGCACACTAGCAGTCCCCAGTCTTGGTGCAGCAGAGACGCCTGGCACAGTCACAGAGACAAGATCCAGAAACACGGCTTAGTGCAATAGCTTTGGGGTGGTGGAATGACCAGGTTGAAGAAACGTGTTTGGTGAGCTGAAGACAAGCTGGCATCAGACACCAGGGGATGTGCTGGTGGATGAGCCCTGTCCGGTCCTGGGTAACGTCATAGATGACGTGGACACTGAACACTTACTGTCAGCAAGTGAAAGCCTGAGGAGCATGGAACAAACTGGAGGCCGGAAACAGGCATGTCTTGACAGGCCAACACCAGGAAAACCCAGCTTATGTCAACGTCCAGTCCTGGCTGAGCTTCAGCGGGTTGGAGTGGGGCTGAGAAGCAATAGGTGATCATCCTGCAAGGCTGCGGCTCTAAACAGCAGCACCGTGCCATGTCACTCGCATGTCCTCTATGCAGCATTCACCCAAGGAGGCCCTGCAGGTTTGGTGGCTGGTAAACAGACACCCTGCACCATTTTCAATTCTGTGAATAATATTTTTGAAAATGTCTTTGCTCTTGTTTCTACTTTGAAGATCGTGTGCCACAAAACACAGTGAAAAAAAAGCACCCAGATACCCTGCAGTGAAACCCCCACACTTCCCCGTGGATGCTGCCCTCTCCTCTTCAGCTAGCCCAGCGCTTTCCAGAGGCATCCCTTGCCTGGACACTGACTCCACCAGGGCACTCATTTCACATTCCTGCTGAGATCCGCTCCCCCACCTCCTTCCTTCCTCAGACCTAACATGCCTGCTGCAGGGGCCAACTTTCAGAACAGCACCAACTGCTCCCAAAGCCCCCTTCTGATCTCAATGAGCTGGGCTCTGCTGCCAACCCCAGAATGCCTTCCTGAACAGTCAGACCCGACTGGCCACTCCTCAGCCTCGGTCTTGTGAAGACAAATTCCCTTCGATTCACTGTCATGAAACGAAGGAAAACGACTGTACGAGACAGCTCCAAACACGGAGCAAGGAGTATAGCTTCAGACAAAGAAAAGAGAACCAACCTGTCATGGTGAGCTTTACCTCCACCCAAGCAAGCTTGGAAAACGAGGGTCTGCCCAGCCAGGGGCGGGCAGCGAGCAGACTGGTGTCAAGCTCAATGGCTGTCCTGCCATAGTCCCATCCAACATAAGCAACAGGCTCGCAAACAGTAGGAGCCTATAAGGCAGCCACCAAGGAACCCCAGGATGCCTGGATAGTGCTCACACTAGCTGAGGAAGGGGGCTGGGGGGTCACTCCCTGCTTGCGACCAACCAGACCTCTGGACACAAGGACTGTCACCTGCTCAGAGCACACAACCACTTGCCGTGACCTGGGCTCCAGTGCTCTGCCTAGGGCCATGCTCTAGCTGGCTGCCATGGGCATGTCTGTGCACCCAATCAGGGTTCAACTCGTATCTGGTTTAAAGCGAAGCCTCTCCAGGGACCTTACTGTCCAGAACTGTCCCCAGAACATGGTATGTCTCAAAGGCATTGCCTGACCCTTTCTGAGCAGCCTGCAGGGACACACTAAGAAAAGCTGTTGGTATTTTCATCGCCCAGCACCAAGTGCCTATGCCAGAAATCTGCGAACCCCCTTTACTTTCTAACTGCCACCTCCAATTCCCCAAGTTCACATCTCTGCCACAACTCCCACTGAATCTGTGGCAATTCCTCCCCCTGGGCCTGTCTCCAGTTCCCCTTCCTACCCCCACACCCTTCCCAGCACCCCAAGTCACAGGACTGCCAGTGAGCGTGGGAAGCAAACTGGGCCATATCCCTGCCTGCCTCGAGGTCCTTGATCCTCACCTCTCACCAGGAGGGCAGGCAGCCTGTCCTGGACCCCACCAAGGCTGCTCCTATGCCTGCCTGCACACTGCCCCCAGGACCCTGGGGATGGTGACCTGCTGCCTCGCACACTGCCTGACCATCCCATCAGGACTGCATAGAAACCCTGTAGCCACCTCACCCATGTCTGTGGCACCTCCTGGAGAGATCACTGGTTCTTGTGTACCAGTCCCACTATACTCTGAACACCCTGTGAGTAGAGACAATGGCTGTTCACCTTTGTGGGCAGCAGACAGGCATCACTGCCAGACAAAACTACTGGCTCTCTTTAGCACAAGGAGTGGAACCGCCATGCATTTTGATGAGACATGATGTGCAGAATGAAAAATCAGCATGGCAGCCATAGGAGCAAACCAGGCCTAAAACAGGCATCTCCTGGCAGTGAAGACCAGGGTGCCCAGGGAAGGTGTGTGCTGGGGCAGGCAGCTGGGCCTGGCAGGAAGCAGAGAAGGGAAGAAGGGCCTGGGCTTAAATTCCAAAGTGGCCACTCACCAACTCTGGGTCCTGGGAGAGGCACTCCCTCCCCCAAAGCATGGCCCCTTCATAAAGGAGGACTCTGAGGGGCTGTGGCCAGGATGAAGGTTCACAGAGAGGACCAGGCAGTGAGGACAGAGCCAGCGTTGGCTGGGTCTACAGGGCTACTGTCCAGCAGGGGCTTGTGGTTCCTCACCTCCTTCCTGTACCCAAATTGGGAAACTCTATCAACAGAAGTCCACTCTCAGTCTTTACAATCTGAATGAGACTAGGATAAACCAAAAACCTGGCAAACTGAGTACCCTAGGGAAGGAACACAGGGCATCAAATGCAAAGCCTGCTAAGGTCAGCGAGGCCCAAGGCAAGCTGCCCCGTTTGCCCTCACCCAACTGGCAGTGCCTCCCCGTCCTCCCTTTGCACACAGGGTGGGGACAGTGCTGACCTCACGCAGGGCTCTGAGGTTAATTATCACTTAATATTATAAGGCACTGGACACACAGGAAGTGCGAGGGATGCATTAAAGAAATAAGTCAGGTAACAGCCTGCTGAACTGTGCAGTAGGACAGCATCCCAAAACACCTCTGCCACGCATTGAGGTTACTGTCACCCCCTCCACAGCAGATGATGGAGTGGTGAGCACCAGCAGCTTCCTGAGGCAGAGCCACCCTTCCACTGGAGCTCTGAGTCCCCTGCAGTGTACGGAGGCCAGCTCTACAGCCCGCAGGAAGGACGTTCACACAAACGTGGAGGAGGCCTGAGCTGGCCTCCCCGCTCCCACTCCTGCTCCATGCCCTGACTCTTCCTTCCACAAACACCCTGGTTCCCACTGAGGACCCTCTCTCCTCTCAATGAGGCCTCTCCCCGGCCCCACCCTCTTCACCACTGTACCCCCGCCACACTGCCAGGCCCCTTCCCTGGTCTAACTGCTTTCCCTTTGCTGAATGAAGGCATGAATTCCCAGGACAGCCAACTCCTCCGTCCTCCTGTGGTGTCCTAAAGAAGGGGAGCTGCTTTCCTCCCTGGGTCACAGACTCACCCTCCTGACCTCAGGGGGACAAGATGATACCTCCCAGCTATTTGTGGGACAGATTTATGTTCTGCTCAAAGGAAACTTCTGTGGGTTTCTTCTAATTTTGAGAGGCACAACACCCACTAATCAAGTGAACTCTCATGGGGCAGAAGGAATTTTTGGCAGCTCCACTTTGCCCCACCCAAGAAGCCTCCTGGTAAATTGCTGCCTGTGTGTGCAGACAGTCTGTTTGCCCACCTGGGACAGGAGTCCACAGCTTGTAAGTGGGGCCCTTTACCCTGTGTGTTCACAAACCTAAATCATAGAGGACCAGAAGACAACAGAAGAAGAGTTACACAGTCTCAGGATGAAAAATATTTCCTAAGCATGTCACCAGAAACAGACACCATAAAAGAAAGATTTTCCCATACTGAAGATATGGGTGGGGCGCAGTGGCTCACACCTATAATCCCAGCCCTCTGGGAGGCCAAGGCAGGTGGATCTCGAAGTCAGGAGTTCGAGACCAGCCTGGGCAACATGGCAAGACCCCGTCTCTACTAAAAATACAAAAATTAGCCGTGCATGGAGTCTCGCTCTGTCGCCCAGGCTGGAGTGCAGCGGTGCGATCTTGACTCACTGCAACCTCCACCTCCTGGGTTCAAGCGATTCTCCTTCTTCAGCCTCTTGAGAATCTGGGATTACAGGCATGTGCCACCACACCGGGCTAATTTTTTTATTTTTAGTAGAGACGGAGTTTCACCATGTTTGCCAGGCTGGTCCCGAACACGTGACCTCAGTTGATTCACCCGCCTCGGCCTCCCAAAGTAATAGGATTACAGGCATGAGCCACTGCGCCCAGCCTGGATTCTTTATGGAAATTGATAAGCTGTTTCTAAAATTCATACGGAATTCAAAGAACCAACAATAGACAAAACAATCTTGAAGAAGAACAAGTTTGAGAACTTACATTTTCTGATTTCAAAGCTCGCTACAATACAAAGCTATACTAATCAAGACAGCATTTACTGGCAAGATGATAGACATATAGATCCATAAAATAGAACTCAGAGTCCATACATTTATGGCCCATTGATGCTAAGACAAGGGTCAAAACATTTTAATGGGAAGGAGTAGCCTTTTCAACAAATGGTGTGGGTGCATTTGTGTCCTCACACACACACAAATGAAGTTGTATACTTAAACCACAACATATACAAGAGATAAAATTGATTTTAAAAACCCAAATGTAAGAATTTAAAACTGTAAAATTCTCAGAGGAATAAATCTTTGTAACCTTGATTTAGGCAGTGATTTCTTAAGCTCTACCAAAGCATAAGCAGTAGGAAAAAAAAAGGGGTGAAGTTTCATTTCATCAAAATTAAAACCTTTTGTAAATCAAAAGACACTAACAAAAAATTGACAATCCATAAAATTGGAAACAAAAATTGCAAATTACTTATTTGATAAAGGATTTGTATCTAGAATATAAAAACTATTACAACTGAATAATAAAATCACAAACTCATTTAAAAATATGCAAAGGGCCAGGCGTGGTGGCTTACACCTGTAATCCCAGCACTGTGGCAGGCCAACCCAGATAAGACTGTTTGAGCCCAGGATTTCCAGACCAGCCTGGGCAACATGGTGAAACCCTTTCTACAAAAAAATGAGCCAGGAATGGTGGCGTGTGCTTTTAGTCCCAGCTATTCAGGAGGCTTAGGTGGGAGAATCAATTGAGTTCTGGAGTTCGTGGCTGCAGTAAGCTGTGATTGTGCTACTGCCCTCCAGCCTGAGCTACAGAACGACCATCTCAAAATATATATATATATATATATATAGACATATATATATCGACATACATACATAGTGTATTTAGATACACACTAAAGAAATTTATAAAATCTTAAGAATGAGCAAAGAATCTGAATAGGCATTTCTCCAAAGAAAATACATAAATGATCAGTAAGTACAAGAAAAGATGCTAAAAATCAACAGCTACCATGGAAATGCAAATCAATACCACAATGAAATACCACTTCACATCTCCAGGATGGCCAGAACCAAACCAAACCAAAACAAAACAAAACAGATCAGATAGCAAGTGTTAGGAAAGAGGTGGAGAGAATGGAACCATCACATACTGCTGATGGGAATGTGAAATGGTGCTGTTACTTTGGAAAAGTATGGAAGTTCTTCCAGTGGTTAAACAGTTATCATATGATCTAGCATTCCCACTCTTAAGTACATACACCCAAGAGAAATGAAAACGTATGTCCACACAAAACCTTTTACAAAAATACTTACTCATAATCACCAAAAAGTGAAAATAACCAAAATTTCTATCAACTGATAAATGAATAAAATGTCATATCTATACAAAGGAATAGTATTTACAAGTAAAAGTACTGATACATGCTATAAGACAGCTGAACACTGAAAACATTATGCTAAGTGAAAGAAGCCAGGCTGGGCACTGTGGCTCATGCCTGTAATCCCAGCAGTATGGGAGGCCGAGGCAGGTGGATCACTTAATGTCAGGCGTTTGAGACCAGCCTGGCCAACATGGTTAAGCCTCATCTCTACTAAAAATACAAAAATTAGCTGAGTGTAGTGGCAGGTGCCTGTAATCCCAGCTACTCAGGAGGCCGAGGCAAGAGAATCGCTTGAACCCAGGAGGCGGAGGTTGCAATGAGCTGAGATTGCACCACTGCACTCCAGCGCGGGCGACAGAGCGAGACTCCCTCTCAAAATAAATAAATACAAAAAAAATTTAAAAAAGAAAAAAGAAAAAAAGAAAAGAAAAGAAAAGAAAGAGACAGGGCTGAGAGTGAAGTCCTGAAAGGATATACACAAACATACACCCTCCTCCCCCTGCCTGCATATTGGTATCATTCCATTAAATCAGCAGTCTTTGACTAAGGTTGTAACTCTAATTGTAATATTATCTAGCCTAAATTTTCTATCTTTTCTAGAAGGATTTTCTGAGAGCTTCCACGTCTATGAAGCTTTTCCTTACAGGGCACCACCTCTACCCAGGCAGCACTGAACTGATCACTCCCCCATCTTTCTCACAACTGAAGCTTTTCACATTTTGCCACATTGTATTACAGTGATTTGTTTACAAGTCTGTCTCTGCTACAAGCCCAAGCTCTCTCAGAGGACAGAAACTTAAATTAACTGGAATCCCAGACCCTAGCAAAATGCCCAAAATTTAGTTGTTACTTAAAAAAAATACTACTAAACACGTCTTACAGTTCAGACACATTAAATGTACAGCAGTTCCTATTTCTGCCATCATAGTATTATTACACAAAATCTAAACATTCTTTAAATACCCTTACCTGTAGCAAAACGGAAACAGCATAACTCAAGAAGGAAGGATGAATGACTACATTTAAACTTTTTATATTCAGCCACTCCAGTTTTTTTCTAGGATTTTAGGGTCAATACATATTCCTTTCCTAAAGGGTTTGGATGTCCACAGGCAACCAACCATGGATATTAAATAGTGATTAAATTCTTGATAAGTCTTGCTGCTGAAATCAAAACCTGATTTTGTCTAATGGGAAAGAAATAAAAAAATTGTCACTATCACCTATTTTCCCTTTCCTCCTCCTTCCCATCAGGTCACGTAAATCTAGACTTAATTTTTGAGTAACAGTGATGTGACACAGAGCTTTCTCATTCATACCTTTTGTACCAAACATTTTTCTTTGCGGCAGTCAGATTTTTACGATACCTAACAGAAAAAAACAAACAGAATGAAACATTTAACATACCTTTGAATACAATGCCTTTGACATAGTAAAATACAAAAATACACTATAAATGTAAATATATGCAAATACGTACATACACAAATATCCAGTTGTCTAGTTAAGGATTTTATCCTTTTGTGGTACATTCTCAAGTGAAAATAAATAGAGGCTCAATAAGTTGTACACTTAAGATGCTTACTTCACTAAATAAAAAATAAACAATAAAAAATGCTTTCAATGTTTCACTATTAAAAAATTAATAAAGTTCTGGCTGGGTGCGGTGGCTCACGCTTGTAATTGCAGCACTTTGGGAGGCCAAGCTGGGTAAATCACCAGGTCAGGAGTTTGAGACCAGCCTGAGAAACATGGTGAAATCCCGTCTCTACTAAAAACACAAAAATTAGCTGGACGTGGTGGCGTGGGTGCCTGTAATCCCAGATACTCGAGAGGCTGAGGAAGGAAAATCGCTTGAACCTGGGAGGCAGAGGTTGCAGTGAGCCAAGATCGCAACACTGCACTCTAGCCTGGGCAACAAGACCTAGATTGCATCTCAAAAAAATAAAAATTAATAGAGTTCTCATTCATAAGTAGGGGTTGAATGATGAGAACACATGGACACAGAGAGGAGAACATCATACACTGGGGCCTGTCGGGGGTGAGGGGAAAGGGGAGGGAGGGGCATTAGGACAAATACCTAATGCATATGGGGCTTAAAACCTAGATGACAGGTTGATAGGTGCAGCAAACCACCCCATGCCACATGCATAACCATGTAACAAACGTGCACCTTCTGCATATTTATCCCAAAACTTAAAAGTAAAATGAAAAAAAATTAATAGAGGCTCAAAAATGGTCACTGATGTAAAACGTACTTTCTTAATGGAAAGAAAATGATGCAGCAGAAAGCACAAAAGGGAAACCTACAAATATGTTTTTCTTGTCTGAGAACTATTAACTAATTAGTTTTTAAACATTTTAAACTTGACATAGTCCTACAAGTTACACCAACAAGGTCTGCACTTAGCCAGGCATGGTGACTCATGCCTGTAATCCCAGCAATTTGGGAGGCCGAGGTGGGCGGATCACCTGAGGTCAGGAGTACGACACCGGCCTGGCCAAAATGGTGAAACCCCGTCTCTATGAAAAAACACAAAAAATTAGCCTGGCGTGGTGGCAGGCACCTTTAATCCCAGCTACTCCGGAGACTGAAGCAGGAGAATCGCTTTAACCCGGGAGGCAAAAGGTGCAGTGAGCCGAGAAGGTGCTGTTGCACTCCAGGTTGACAAGAGCAAAACTCTGTCTCCAAAAAAAAAAAAAAAAAAAAGTTTACATTTATGGACTGAGAAAAGTAATTTCAGTCCACAAGTTACAGAATTAGAGGAGACCAGAAATAATACTTACAGTTCCACATAATTGGCAACAGCTCCCCTTATCTCCCAGAAAATATTTTTATCAGAGAAGCTACAAATACTTAAAGCAGTTGTCAGCAAATGACTAATTTTTCCTGAAGACACGGCAATTAGAATGAACAATGCTGAGTGCAATAGTACCACTGCACAACAGGTCCTTAACTATGATTTTTTTTTATTCCGTAGCCACACCAGTGGAGAATTTAAATACAACACAGCTGTCATGGCCCCATATTGGAATCGCATGTCCAATAGCAAGCCCGATTTCCAGAGGCTTTGGCCAAAGACAAGTAGGAATATTTTTTGTATTACAGCTGAAAGACGAAGAGAAAATTATAATATACCATATCATAAAATGGTAAAAAGGCTTTGTACCTGCATATAATGAAACACCTCTGGTTCAGGATGCTGGCATCCAGGCTGAAGAGTGCAGAATATAAGATCCCAGGAAGAGACACCACCAATGGAAGGTTATAATTTATATATATGTCACACACCTTTGAGAAGGAAAGATAACATCAGTATATAGACTATTCCCCAGAACTTCTCAACCAAGTTCACCTGAAGAATCATCAGTATAAGATAATAATGTAACGTTAGCTTTGGCCATGCCTGACTCCTAAACAAACAGACAACTGTAAGCTTGCTTAACATAGACTTCGCCAAATATCAGTCACACTACAGAGGGTAATTTCTAAAAGACCATTACTTAAATCTTTCATTTCTTCTAGGGAAAGGTCTTACAGTTAGGGGGACAGGGTAAAGGAAGGAAGGATTTCTTTCCCCTTAAGTCCCATAATACTTATTTATCACATGAGTTAGCCCTCAACCTAGAAAACAAACGAGCATGTTTCTAAGCAAATGCGTAACACAAGACAACTAGGTATTAGTAGAGGAAGCTGGGAAAAGTGAGACTATCATGGATACTTCATGGCTATTAAGTTGCTGCAAAAGTAATTGCAGTTTTTGCCATTGAAAACAATAACAAAAACCACAATTACTTTTGCATCAGCCTATAGTTCTGCCAGGTTATATACTATAACACAATAAAAGGGTACTAGGTACCAAGAGACGTAAGGCAGTTGAAAGGTAGACATGGAGATCTGAAGAAACAACAAGAAATTTTTGGTTTCCACCAGGAGTTAGGAATGAAAAGAACAAAAAATAATGCTAACAACAGACTTCTGTCTAGGACCAGTGTTAACACAGGGTAATGTTGTGGTGCCTGGACCTTAAAAAAAAAAAAGCATTTGTTTTTCCACGTGGTTTATGAAAGTCAATTGTTCTGGCGAGAAAATAATCATGAACTTCAAAATGTAAGATTATTTTAATGATGTTAATGAGATCATGGCCTACCTTCATATTTGTGCATAAAATTTAAATAATATGCCAATAAAGTGAATAGCTTTCACAAAAATCCCAATGGGGAAAACGTAACGTGTATTACCTTCTCACAGAAATCCAAAATAAAGTGCAGTAAGAAAGTTCTGTTGCTCTCCACGTGCACTGCAGTAGTGGACAGCCACCCTACATAGTGGAGCAGTTTAGACACAGAGCTCATGGATCCGCCCAGTTCTCTCTCTGCAATAAGAAACCATAACATTCAGATACAGAGTAGCAAAAGTGTTCACAATTTCCAAGCTAAAGGTGAATAATATAAAGGAAAAAGTTGGTGAAGATTTTAAAACTATCAGTGCTCCAATGTATAATTTACTTTTAAAAAAATCAGTGATTAATCATAAAACTACACTTAGCCTTCCAGGGAATCATTAAGATGAATTCATAGAACATTCTAAACAACCAGAATCTACTAGTAAATAACAGATAAATAAAGTATTAAGCTCCAAGCAGTTATGAAAATTCTCAAGTGGGAGATATAAAAACCACTAGAAATATAGGTATTTCATTAACAGTTAAGGGGAGAAAAAGGTTCCCATAAAAGTGACATGAAAAATTCATGGCCAAGCACAGTGGCTCACACCTGTAATTCCAGCACTTAGGGAGACCAAGGCAGGCAGAGTTCTTGAATCCAGGAATTTGAGACCAGCCTGGGCAACATGGCAAAAGTTCTTCACAAAAAATACAAAAATTAGCTGAGGTGGCGGCACACACTTCTAGTTCCAGCTACTCAAGAGGCTGAGGTGGGAGGATTGCTTGAGGCCCAGAGGCAAAGGTTGCAGTGAGCGAGATTCCACCACCACACTCTAGCCTGAGTGACAGAGCAAGACTGTTTAAAAAAAAAAAAATTCAGGCCATGTGCAGTGGCTCACGCCTGTAATCCCAGCACTCTGGGAGGCTGAGGAGGGCAGATCACTTGAGGTCGAGTTTGAGACCAGCGTAGCCAACATGGTGAAACCCCGTCTCTACTAAAAATAAAAAAATTAGCCAGGTGTGATGGTGGGTCCCTGTAATCCCAGCTACTTGGGAGGTTGAGGCAGGAGAATACCTTGAACCCAGGAGGTGGAGTTTGCAGTGAGCCAAGATCATGACACTGCACTCCAGCCTGGGCAATATAGCAAGACTCTATTTCAAAAAAAAAAATCAGAATGAAATGTGAAAATGGACAAAATGATACAGTAAACTAGGAAACAATGACAACTAATTTATTCCAACCAAATCAAATGTGGTTTAAAGGAATAAACATTAAAATGACTTTAGGAATCGTTTCCTATACTGTCAGTAACATTGTAACACAAATGCATGGAAACCTACGCTACACAAATCAAAACTCTGTTTTGCCTGAATTCCCTAGCTTTATAAAATGCTGTTAAACATATTTTCACTTGAATTTGGTATGGCACAGTGACTCATGCCTGTAATCCCAGCACTTTGGGACGCTAAAGCAGGTGGATCACTTCAGGTTGGGAGTTGAAGACCAGCCTGGTCAACATGGTGAAACCCCAACTCTATTAAAAATACAAAAATTAGCCTGGTATGGTGGTGCAAGCCTGTAATCCCAGCTACTGGGGAGGCTGAGGCAGAAGAATCCCTTGAACCCAGGAGGTGGGGCTGGCAGTTAGCCAAGATCATGCCACTGTTAAATGGATTAGGAAAAGACTTACAAATGTGAATTCACAGCTTTACTCTCCTATCTAGGCAGTCAACAATGGTTATGCACAAGGAAAAGAACATGTATAATCTTAGAATTTCAGAGATGGTGACGACTCTACTACTGCCCACCACCATGATAGTTCAGTGTCAGGACAATCAATGATGATCAGGAGACCATTCAAATATGCAAGCATCTACATACACATAGCCAGTTGGCTACTTGCAAAACTAAGTGGTTTTTTTTTTTTTTTTTTCCCCCCGAGATGGAGTCTTGCTCTGTCGCCCAGGCTGGAGTACACAGGTGCGATCTCAAATCACTGCAACCTCCTTCTCTGGGGTCAACCAGTTTTCATGCCTCAGGCTCCTGAGTAGCTGGGATTACAGGCGTGTGCCACCACATCCAACTAATTGTTCTATTTTTATTAGAGACAAGGTTTCACCATGTTGGCCAGGCTCATATGAAACTCCAGACCTCAAGTGATCTGCTGGTCTCAGTCTCCCAATGTGCTGGAATTACAGGCGTAACCGTATCTTAACTATGATTTTTGGTAGCACTTGGCAACTGTGTCAAACAATTTGAAACAATGACCATTGCTTCAAACAGCCTCTTTTGAAGTGTTTTTCCACATGACACTATTGGCATTTTGGATCAAATAATTCACTGTTCAGGACTGGCTCTTACTACCCACGCAGCCCCTGAAGCACACTGAGCATCCCCACCTCCCACATACTAAATTACAGTCGCAACCTCTTCCCGGTCACCATGACACCAGAAATGCCCCCTCCCTTCAAGAACCACTGCTGAGAAGTTTTCTACCCTTCTCTTCTTATGATATATAACTACAATTTACTCCCTTTTTGACAGTGATATGGCATATGGTCACATGACACCTATATTTACTCAATTATTGAAAACTTGAGCTATACTATATAATGCCAAATATTGTTATGACAAGCAAAGTTACCCACATGTATGTCCATTAAATTTTAGAAAGCAGAATTCCTTTTCAAATTGTCTCCCTTATGATACTAATAAAAGGAAAGATAATACAGAAACTGTAAGGCAGCTATTTCAAGGGTACTGGAGACTTACACTGCAAGTTGGCCAAATATTGTAGATGCAAACATACTGTTTTGCTCAATCTTTTGCTCATCTGGGGAATAGAGAATGAATATACATGGGTCCAGGCACAGCAGCTCAAAGAGAGGAATGCAGGTTAGGGAGAACCACAAGTAAAAGAGAAGAATTTCAGGCTGGATGTGGTGGCTTATGCCTGTGATCCCAATACTTTGGGAGGCCAACGCAAGAGGATAGTTTGAGCCTAGGAGTTCAAGACCAACCCAGACAACACAGTGAGACCTTGTCTCTACAACAAAAATTAGCCTGGCATGTTACACTGGTGCATGCTCTTGGTCACAGCTACTCGGGGGCTGAGGTGGATCGCTTGAGCCTGGGTGGTCGAGGCTGCAGTGAGCTGAGACTGCGTCACTGCACTCCTGGGAGACAGAGAAAGACCCTGTCTCACACAAAAGCGGAGAGAGGTAATTTCAAAGGTACAGTTCTGGATGTAATTTAGGTAGAAGAGGTTAAACATTTAAGTGGAGTTTCTTTCAAATAGTGGTTCTCAAACTTCAGCATGCACCAGAATTATGGTAGTGTTTAATTACAGAGCCCCAACTCTAGAGTTTAATTCAGTAGGTCTAGGCCAAGACCTAAGATTCGCATCTCTAACAAGTTTCCAGGTTATGCTGATGATCCAAGGACCATATTTTGAGAAGCATAGCTTTACAAGATGTTTACTACCCACTAACGCTCCATTTCCTTCTAAAAGTGATCAGGTGTATCTGGAAACAATTTAATAATGAATATGAAGAATTATAAACAATTTTCCAGGCCTAAGTAGCTTCTATTCTCTATTCTACCAAAGTAGGAAACCACTATAGGGATAAGAACATACAGAAAAATGAGTCTGGGCTCATCTGTTAACCAAGCTAACCACCAGCTATTTACAACTGAAGCTAAGGGGAATTTGAACATTGGTTAGATATTTAAAGATACTAAGAACTATTGGCTGGGCACGGTGGCTCATGCCTGTAATCCCAGCACTTTGGGAGGCCAAGGCGGGTGCATAATTTGAAGTCACAAGTTCAAGACCAGCCCCGGCCAACACTGTGAAACCCTCTCTCTACTAAAAACACAAAAATTAGCTGGGTGTGGTGGCACATGCCTGTAGTCCCAGCTACTCGAAGGCTGAAATACGAGAATTATGTGAACCCAGGAGATGGAAGTTGCAGTGAACTTTCATCAACCCACTGCACTCCAGCCTGGGCAAGGGTGAGACTGTCTTTAAAAAAATAAAAAACTACCAATTTTTTAGGTGTCATAATAGTACCATATTTTACAGTTGAAACGGGACCTGAGTTTTGCTTTAAAATAATGGAAAGGAAAGGTGAAAGGTACTATAGATGAAAAAAGGTTAACCAAGAGTTGCTAACTGTTGAAGATGGGTAATGGGCACAGACGGGGAACACTGCAGTATTTTCTCTACTTTTGATTGTATTTGTAATTTTCTATAATAGTTTTTCAAACGCCAAAAAATTATGTGACTGATAATAGAATTTACGAGAAGCAGCCAGGCACAGTGGCTCACACTGGTAATTCCAGCACTTTGGGAGGCCAAGGCGAGCAGATCACCTGAGGTCAGGAGCTTGAGACCAGCCTGGCAAAAATGGCAAATCCCCATCTCTACTAAAAATACAAAAAACAAAACAAAACAAAACAAAAATGTAGCTGGGTGTGGTGGCACATGCCTGTAATCCCAGCTACTTGGGAAGCTGAGGCAGGAGAATCATCTGAAGCTGGGAGGTGGAGGCTGCGGTGAGCCAACATTGCACCACTGCACTTCAGCCTGGGCAACACAGCGAGACTCAGTCTTAATACAAAAAAAAAAGTGTAAGAGAAGGCAAAAAAACTAAGTAGAAAGAGTCAAAACAATCTGACTATGCAGTTCCTTGAAATTTAGACTTTTACTTTGAAGGTAAAGCACACATTTAACAAAAATTTAAGATTCTTATTTTAAACTCCAAAGTTAAGATAATTTAATGCATATAACCAAAATACAGCATAGGAACATACTATCCAGCTACCCTACCCTGTATTTTTTTTTTAATCTTCTCATATCTCTGCTGTCTATCACTTGGAAGCTCATCCAGATTCATTGAGGAGCTTAGAACTCTGCATCATGTCCTGCCATCAACATCTCAGTTACACCAGTGTCCATGCAAATGATCCCAACATTTCAGTTTCAGTTTCTTGACTTTGAATCAAATAACCTTCACTCCACCTTAGTTACCCAGTCCCACAGATACACACTGGATTCTGTCATAACCTGAACTGAACCACACCAAAATATATTATTTTGTTGTTGTAACTTTCTATTCCAGCTTTATCGCAGACTCAACTCCAACTATAGTTACTCGTTTCTCAACGTCAGAGATACTCAATCCCTTAATTCCTTTTTTGCAGTGATGTGATGTTGGGTCACTGCAACCTCCACCTCCCAGGTTCAAGCGATTCTCCTCCCTCAGCCTCCCAAGAAGCTGGGATTACAGGCACACATCACCACACCCAGCTAATTTTTGTATTTTTAGTAGAGATGAGGTTTCACTATGTTGGCCAGGCTGGTCTCAAACTCCTGACCTCAAGTGATCTGCCCATCTTGGCCTTCCAAAGTGCTGAGATTACAGGCATGAGCCACCACACCCAGTCAATACCTTAATTTTTAATGTCCTTTTTCAGGTTTATCAGCCTTCTCCTGGCCTTATTTTCCTATCTGGACTAGACCACACAGCCGATCACAACTCTCTTGTACTCCATTCAACCAGCAAAACCCAAACTGATTCAGTCTAATAAATTGCTTTCTCTTCTCCAATATGTAAGTGGAAGAAACACACACAACTGCAAAGATTCGCGCCATTCCAAATTGATGATCGCCAACTTTTGCTGGGCCCTTAATGACACTCAATAATCCTTTTACTTGTCTTTAACCAGCTTGTTCTTGCTGGCTGTCCTAAGCAGTTAATGTCCTCCTGGAGTGTCCTACTTAGATATTCTGTAAAACATGCTTCTCATTTTGAGTAATTTAACATTCTTAGGCACAAAGTACTTCAATGTCTTACCCTTTCTTCTAACTTTACAAATATATATCCACCCATCCATGCAGCCTCTCCCCAGTCATAGATGATAAATGGTGCCTCCGAATTCCTAACCACCCATTCAAGTAAATCTCGCGACCTACTTTTAACCCAATACCTTCATATTTCTTCTGGAGCCCTGTACCTTCACTTATCCCCAATCTTTTCTCCAATTTCAACTTCTCCCTCTTCTCCACTGGCTCCTGTGACTCTATGTATAAACACAATCACATTTCTCTCATTTTAGAGGCAAAAAAAAAAAAAAAACCAACTTCCCCTGGGTTCACAGTCCCCCTATAGTTCTTTCTCTACACTTTTTTTTGGTCAAACATTTTGAAACATATTCTATACATACTGTCTTCACTTGACTTTTCACTCACTCCCCCACCCACACAATCTGACTTCTACCTCCACACTCCACTGGAACTACTCAAAAAGGAAGCCAAAACCTTTATACTGCCAATACTTAAAGTAAATTTTTGTCCTTATCTTTCTGGACTTTCCTAGGATACTTGGCAACATTATTCCTTCATTCATTTTGACATCCTATAGTCTATTTATTGTCTTGGAACTATCATTCTGGTTCTTTTTATACACCAATTTCTTTTTAAGGTTTCTTCCGACTGTCCTCCTCCTTGGCCTGAGAATTAAATACTGTGTATTCCCGAGTTCTACACTTAGCCTACTGTCTGCTCCTTTCCTTCCTTCCTTCCTCTCCCCACCCCTTTCACTCTCAAATATACATGTGTATGAAAGTGTATATGTATATTAGGTTGAACCTCAAATTGCCAATCATTAACCATCTTTGACCTACCAAAAAATGGTAATTTTCTATGGTCCAGCCTAATGTTTAAACAGCTCTTTAGCATGGAAGAATAAGAAACAACAACAACAACAACAAAGAATAACCCAATTAGAAGACTGAGAGAGAACTGCAAAAAAAATTCAAACTGAAGTCTCTGAAATGTTAAAAAGAAAGTTACAAAAAATTACTTAATTGCACCTCTTTTAGAATAGGAGTAACCACTCTGTAAGAAAGTGGTTCTCAAACTCATTCACGTAGAACTTCTGGAAGCCATAATGATCTTCTTGGTGACCACCCCCAAATACTAACATATTATAAATAAGGTTGGAACAATTTTATTAGCAGAAAACCACCATTATAATAAATATAGAACATGAATGCCATGGGGAGTTTTGTTTGCTTTGGTTACTACTGTATTCCCAGTGTCAAAAAGCGTATATAGTAGGTGCTCAAAAAATATTTCTGAAATGAATAAATGTATCTACAAAAATATAAACCACAACAATCAAACTATTTCTCAATTTGTTTTTATTAATATGCATTTGCCACTTGTTCATTCACTATGTCATTTGCTACAAGCAGAAACAGGTCAGGAAAACTATGCAACACAGCCATAAAAAAGGAACATTCTATGCATTAACTTTGAGTTGAGTGATGCAGCACCTCAAAGCCCAGGTGCAAGAAAATCCTGTTATAAAACCATTGCCGTAATGTCAGTTTGGAATTGTGTACCACTAGCAATAGAATAATACATCCTGTTAAATCTAAGCAAGGCAAGTTTTTGTTACCCTTGAATAAATGGTTGATGTAAAGAGCTGTGCTAGATGGTCAAAAAGAAGCGGTTTCACCTCCAGGAATTAAAAAAAAAAAAAGATTTATCAAAATCCATTCAATTATAGCACACTGAATTAAATGACTCCAAATGTTCATGATACATACCAGAGAAGCTACAGCAAATAATCCAGCTCACAAGCGGAAGGAACTGTGACTGACAACAGAGGTCATCCCAGAGAGAAAGGCTCTTATATAGGAATGCTTCACAGCAATAAAACCCCTCCTGTAACACAAATGAACAGTAAATCCTTATGTAGAAAGCTTCAGTCACAAAATTATGCTCTATATAACAAGTTTATTTTGGGCTATAGTTGCTTCACTCTTAGACTAATTTTTTGGCATCAATATAATGAAAGCCTTAGGTTAGATGCCAGACTTCCTCAGAAAAAGGTAAAATGATTAGTATTTACTTGCAATACTATTTTTATTAATATAGCTCTCAAATACCATAAAGCTTCATCAATTGGAAAGAAGGCTAAAAGTTATCCATTTTAAAAAATTTATTACCTTGGGTACAGTACATGCAGTAATTTGAACGGTCAGTAAAATGTATACAATGTTATGTTACAGGGCTAGAATGCCATTGGAGGCCACAGACCAAATCCCAACTCTGAGCAGATCCTTCTTTAGAGGCTCAAATGTCTAGGTTGCTTGTATTTCCACCAGAGTGAGAATCTGGGACTTCTCATTTTCCTTTTGTCACCTAAGCCTTACATAGCGACATGCACCAGGACTCTAAGACCTTCCTTTCATGACATGAATTCTCTGGACAGTCTCATCCACATCATAGCTAAAACTACCACTTTTAACATGAGGGGTCCTAAACCTGTATCTCCAGCCCAAATCTCATTCCTGAGCTTTAGACTCATTATTTTACTGGGTACTGGGTATGACTGCTTTGATGTCCCACTGGCATCTCTTAAGTGAAACATCTTTCCTTCCCAGCCTGCTCCTCTTATATTCCTTTCCTCAGTGAAAGCCATCCATCTTCCCAAGTAGGAAACGTAAACGTCAGCCTAAATCGATATCCTCACTACCATCGTCTGAACCCAGCTTCCAATTAAATGGTTTCACAACACATCCCTAAAACTTGGGCTGGGTGTGGCGGCTCATGCCTGTAATCTCGGCACTTTGGGAGACCAAGGCAGAAGGAATGCTTAAGCTCAGGAGTTGGAGACCAGACCGGGCAATACGGCAAAACCCCGTTTTTACAAAAAAAATACAAAAAAAAAAAACCCCCCACAAAACAACAACAGAAAAGACTAGCCAGGAATGGTGGTGCACATCTGTAGTCCTAGCTACTAGACTGAGTGGGGAGGATCAACTGAGGCCATGACATCAAGGCTGCAGTTAAGCCCTGATTGTGCCAGTGAACTCTAGCCTGGGTAACAAAGTGAGACCTTGTCTCATTAAAAAAAAAAGTCAAAGAATTACTCCACAAACATTTATCAATTAAGCTGAACATTTATACATGAAGAAGAGTTAGACATGGTTTCTGCCTGCTGGGAGCTCATAACGAGTGGAAAAAAGGATGCTAAAAGTGTCACGATAGACGTAAGCACAGGCAGCCATGGAAGCACATAGAACAAGGAGCTAACCCATACTGGGCAATAACTGAAGGCTCCTTGACGGTGCTGATACCTAAGCTGCAGCTTAAAATACAACTGAGGGTTACCCAAAGAGTCCATTGGCTGGAATTTATTTGATGCTCAAAAAATGTTTGTTGATTATAAGAATGTAAGTAGTGACCTTATGAAATTTACATTACTAATTCAATTAACTGAATACATTTAATTGTATCTTCAGTTTGTCCTCCTAAACTACAGGTTTTTCCCTTTTATTTGCACAATATAACATATTCTTTCTTCAAATCCAACAGTATAAAGATAAAAGTCCAACTCAGCTTTCTTTATAAAGAGTTTCAAATTGAACAAATATTATTTACAAATGATGTCAGGTACTTAAAAAATGTTTTTGTTGTTGTTTTTGAGACAGGATCTCACTCTGTCACCCAGGTTGCAGTGCAGTGGCACAACTACAGGTCACTGCACCCTCGACCTCCTGAGCTCAAGTGATCCTCCTACCTCATCTTCCTGAGTAGCTGGGACAACAGATGTATGCCACCATGCCTGACAAATTTTTGTATTCTTTGTAGACATGGGGTTTTGCCATGTTGTCCAACCCGCCTCAGCCTCCAAACTGAAACTGCAGAGATTACAGGTGTGAGCTACCACACTCGGCCAAGAAAAAGACTGTCAATGGATATCTAAATAAATTTTAGTAAAGAGTGGTGGAGTGTGGAAGCAGCAAGTGAAATCTTGTAAGAAGAACTCTGCCCTCATGAAGTATCCAGGAAGTTGGTAAACTCTTTTCCATGTTCATAATTATTCACCTTGTACCAAATACATTCTAGAGCAGGAACACTAAATATAAGCATCTAGCTATACCACAATAAAAAAGTGCACAAAACAAAATTATCACCAAAGTTACAAATAAGTGACAAAGTAAAAAAGCCATTAGTCTCATACATCCTAATTCATAATGTAGACGAGAACAGAGAGATGGAGGTGACAGTGAGATGTCCCTCAACAACTTGGTAATACAGGGAAAAGCTTATAGTGAAAGAACAAACGGAGGGAATTCACATATAATGAATAAGATAAACTTTATATCACATAGTCATCCAAGCAAGTATAAACACCTGAATTGAAAGTTTTAGAACACTCTAGACTTCAATTAGGGTAGGCTGGGTATAACGTAAGAAAGATTGAAATTTAGTAAGGGGAAATCTAATAAACTGTATCATATTCCATTTAAAAGATTCAGAGTAGAAGAAGAATTGGCCTGGAACCAACCAAAAGCAATTTTAACCACCAGAAGAATCAGGAGTTGCTTATCCAGTAAAGAAATACTCAATTTGGTCAAAAGAAATGCTATCTTCCCACCGCCCCACACCACTGGAGGAATGAAATGCCCAGGCTTTACTATGGCCTGGATGAAAGACTTCTCACTGCTGTTTCCTTTAATTCTATAATTAAGAAACCTTCTACTGACAAATCTTGTTCCATATATGCAGATAGCACAGAGGGGATATTCTAGTTGGCAGATATGAGCATTTTGCTTACCAGAAATAATTCATTTTATAATAAACTGATATTCTGGCTTATACATTAGTCTCCTCTGAGTTTCATTACCATTAACGGGATACTCTGGGGGCCTAACAGCAAGTTTCCGACATACACAGATCAAAAATCCTTGGATTGTGATAGTCATCAAAGTAGAGCCACCCAGTGAGTTTTGGTGGCTATCCAGTAGTGTTTCCTTAACATAATCCCTTTCCCTTCTTACTACCTTAAAATTACAACAGAAACATTCATGCTCTAAATATATGATTACCACAGACATAATTACAGCATACGAAGGCTCCTCTTGTCTAGAATTTGGCACACCCTTATAAAAGAAATCCATTTGTAAACTATCTTGTCCCATCCTCCCTCAATTCTTACCTTCTTGTAATGTTTGACTCAACCCGTAGTAAGACCTCAGCAAGACTGACTCATCTATGACACAGTCAATATACTGAAGCAGCAGAGAGTTGTTTAGCACTGAGCCTATCTGAGAAGGCAGCTGCAGTAACAGAACCACCGATCAACATCTGAAAATAAAGAAAATATGTAACAAAAATAGGCTAGCATGGTGGCTCATGCCTGTAATTGCAACACTGTGGGAGGCTGAAGCAGGAGGATCACTTGAGCCCAGGAGTTTGAGACCAGCCTGGGTAACATATTTTTAAAAAAATTTTGTGTGTGTGTGTGTGTGTGTGTGTGTGTGTGTTTTTTGAGACAGAGTCTCACTCTGTCAACCAGGCTGGAGAACAGTGGTGGGATCTCGGCTCACTCCAACTTCTGCCTCCCAGGTTCAAGCAATTCTCATGCCTCAGCCTCCTGAGTAGCTGGAAGTACAGGTGTGCACCACCATGCTCAATTTCTGTATTTTTTGGTAGAAATAGGATTTCACCATGTTGGCCAGGCTGGTGGTCGTGGTCTTGAACTCCTGACACCTCAAGTGATCTGCCCGCCTTGGCTTCCCAAAGTGTTGGGATTACCAGCGTAAGCCACCGAGGCTGGCCTGATATAATTTTTTTGAAAAATTAGCCAGGCATGGTGATGCACATCTATAGTCCCAGGTACTTGGAAGGCTGAGGTGGAAGGATTACATAAGCCCAGGAGTTCAAGGCAGCAGTGAACCATGACTGTGTTACTGCCTGGGTGACAGAGTAAGACCCTGTCTCAAAAAAACAAAAACAAAGGCCATACAAGTTCAAACAGAAAATGCAAAGAAGCACATGGTCCAGTCACACACCTCTAGGCAATGGATATTCTGTAAAAGTTGGGGAAAGCTTTGAGGCTGTTCTAGTGGAAATGATCCACTTCTATTCAGACAATCAGAAAGACTCACCTCTTTTTTTCCATATTCTTTAGTGTAACTACTGGAATTGAGCACTGGTATAACTGAGAGAGAATTCAATTTCTAAAGATAAAACAATCTATAAATGGACAAAACAAACTACAAAGCACAAATATAAAAGCAGCTGTTAATGTGTTTCAATTAAATGGGAATATGGTTTACACAGAATCCTGGGTAACTGACATGTATTTAAATATCTATAATCTCCTCTAAGATCTGAATGGTTATTATTTGGATTTAACAAAAGAAAGCCATGCAACTTGTTTGGGCTTTAGATACTACTTTTAGAGGACGAACACTAGCTGGACCCAACATCAACTTCAGAGGTTCTGGAGAAGGTTCCTGGTTTCTTCGCTTCATGGCAAGCAGAGCCATCTTCCATACATTCTCTGAATTCTTAAAATAGATCTATAAATTTGGATATAAAGTACAAAAGAGTAGGTACCTATAAACTGGAGCGACGTGAAGTCTAAAACTGCTCATTAATTGAATATATATTATGAATTCCTTTACATACAAATGCATTTATTTTTCTGATCAGCAATCTATTAAATGCACCAAACGGGACCAACACGAAGTGCCAATCCCTAAAAAAAACTTCCCCAAAGCAGTACCACAATACTAGATAGTAAAACAGTAGGCTGTAAGCATTTTAGTTGAAATCTATAAGTTAACTTTAACAAAAATAACATATTTCAATCTCAATATGATTTCTCTCTCCTTAATCCCTTACCTTTTTCCTAACAGGCAAAGATACAGAAATCAGAGCAGAAGCAAAGAACCTATACAGCGACAACAAAGCCTGAAGATGAAGCTGCATTCCCCGAAATAAAATAGGTTTTCCATTTTCAATTCTGTGGCTACTAAGAAACTGAGGAAACAAATACCAATAAGAAGAAAGTAAGTATATTCAGACCATAATTTCACTATGAGATATAGCTATAGGAAGATGCTATCAAAAATCAAGGAAGGAGTAACCAGACATTTAAGTCAACCACCATAAAACAATTCTCTCCAAACTGTGATCATCTCTCTTACTACCATTACTGACTTTACTTCTTTCTCATATTTTCTCTCCTCTTCCTGTACCTTAGGCTTAACAGTCATACTTACTAGCATTGTAGAGCTTATTCTCACTGGTAGCATACTCAGGACTCAAAGTTTATTCATCCTTGATTTACACATCAAGGAGATACGACCAAAAGAGAAGCTAATACCTGATTATTATAGTTCTAGGAAATTACAATTGGCATGCCATAATCAAGCAGCTTTGACATAACTAAAATCTTAACAAAGCACTAATTTCACAATGAAAGAAGTCATTACTGCTAGATACCCACATCTGACTATGCACAGAAAGCACACCACTAAAACGAATTCCGAGGAAGTAACCAAATTGTTTTGTAATACTAAAATTTTATTATATCAAATACTGTACAAAGTAAGGCAGTAAATGAGGCCTAGAAATAATTTTTTTTTGAGATGCAGCTTTACTCTTTTTGCCCAGGCTGGAGTCAATGGCATGATCTCTGCTCACTACAATCTCCCCTTCCCAGGTTCAAGCGATTCTCCCGCCTCAGCCTCTCCCAAGTAGCTGGGAGTAAAAGCAGACACCACCACACCCAGATAATTTTGTATTTTTAGTAGAGATGTGGTTTCACCATGTTGGCTGGGCTGGTCTTGGACTCCTGACCTCCAGTAATATACCCGCCTTGGCTCAGAGAAGATGCCTATGACCTAGAATCAGGTACACGCTGGAAAGAAGCTCAGAGCATGTGCCTATTACCTGGAATCAGGGCATAGGCTGGAAAAAAGCTGACATGCAAAGGCAGGTGCTGCCTCTGGGGAGAACGGACAGAGTAGGAACCACTGTAGTTTCTTGCCTTTACAGTTGTGTACATATACTACTTTGATAAAATTTAAATTAAAAAATTAAAAATTAAATGAGGTCGAATGTGATGACTCATGCTTAAGCCCAGGAATGCAGGACCAACCTGGGCAATATATTGAAACTCCATCTTTATAAAAAATACAAAAAATTAGCCACTCATAGTGGCATATGCCTGTAGTCCCAGCAACTTGTGAAGAGCATCTGCTATCAAATCTAATATACAGGCAGTGAGCTCCTGGGATATGAACCATTTTCTTTAAATTTACAGTTGTCTCTGCGTAGCTGGACTGTTTCCAGACTTTCCAGCAGTCCATGAGGCAGGAATCTTTAAACCCATGAGAAAGCCTGGCTCTTCCCTCCTCTTCTAACATTCCTTTTTTTTTTTTTTTTTTTTTTTTTTTTTAAGACTAAGTCTCATTTTTGTCACCAAATCTGGCTGCAATGGTGCAATCTCGGCTCACTGCAACCTCTGCCTCTCAGGCTCAAGCGATTCTCCTGCCTTAGCCTCCCAAATAGCTGGGATTACAGGAACCCACCACCACGCTCAGTTAATCTTTGTATTTTTAGTGGAGACAGGATTTTACCATGATGGGAAGGCTAGCCTCGAACTCCTGACTTCAGGTAATCCCTGCCACCTTGGCCTCCCCACAGTGCTGGCATTATAGGCGTGAGCCACTGCACCTGGCCTCTTTTAACATTCTAAAGAGAAAAAGAGAAAGCGATTTAGCCTAGCAGCCAAGGAAAGAAAAAACAACGTATACATTAAATTGCCCTTTAATTTTTTTTTCTTTTTTTTAAATTGTACTTTAAGTTCTAGGGTACATGTGCATAACGTGCAGGTTTATTACATATGTATACTTGTGCCATGTTGCTGTGCTGCACCCATCAACTCGTCAGCACCCATCAACTCGTCATTTACATCAGGTATAACTCCCAATGCAATCCCTCCCCCCTCCCCCCTCCCCGTGATAGGCCCTGGTGTGTGATGTTCCCCTTCCCAAGTCCACGTGATCTCATTGTTCAGTTCCCACCTATGAGTGAGAACATGCGGTGTTTGGTTTTCTGTTCTTCCGATAGTTTGCTGAGAATAATGGTTTCCAGCTGCATCCATGTCCCTACAAAGGACACAAACTCATCCTTTTTGATGGCTGCATAGTATTCCATGGTGTATATGTGCCACATTTTCTTAATCCAGTCTGTCACTGATGGACATTTGGGTTGATTCCAAGTCTTTGCTATTGTAAATAGTGCCGCAATAAACATACGTGTGCATGTGTCTTTATAGCAGCATGATTTATAATCCTTTGGGTATATACCCAGTAATGGGATGGCTGGGTCATATGGTACTTCTAGTTCTAGGCCCTTTAATTTTCTTTCTTTTTTTTTTTTTTTTTTTTTTTTTTTTTTTTGAGACGGAGTCTCGCTCTGCCGCCCAGGCTGGAGTGCAGTGGCCGGATCTCAGCTCACTGCAAGCTCCGCCTCTTGGGTTCACGCCATTCTCCTGCCTCAGCCTCCCGAGTAGCTGGGACTACAGGCGCCCACCACCGCGCCCGGCTAGTTTTTTGTATTTTTTAGTAGAGATGGGGTTTCACCGTGTTAGCCAGGATGGTCTCGATCTCCTGACCTCGTGATCCGCCCGTCTCGGCCTCCCAAAGTGCTGGGATTACAGGCTTGAGCCACTGCGCCCCGCCGGCCCTTTAATTTTCTACAGCTTGCTTGCAGTATGGTAACACTACTGGGGCTTTTAAATGCTTCATATCAGTGGTGATCACAAACATTTTAAAATTCCTCTATTTAAGGGTTTTTTCTTTGTTGTTAGATATATTTGCTTTTGTTTCGTTTTCGCCTTTTTCTTGGACATGAAGCAGAGATATATTTTCATTTTTCCCTATTTTTTCAAGGGAGAAGCCCAACTGATATTCAGGAAAAGACCTGACCAATTCTCATTTAAAGTTACGCAAAAGGCTGGGCGCGGTGGCTCATGCCTGTAATCCCAGCACTTTGAGAGGTCGAAGCAGGCAGATCACCCAAGGTCAGGAGTTTGAGACCAGCCTGGCCAACATGGTAAAACCCCATCTCTACTAAAAACACAAAAATTAGCTGGGCATGATGGCACATACCTGTAACCCCAACTACTTCGGAGACTGCGGCAGGAGAATCACTTGAACCCGGGAGGCGGAGGTTGCAGCAAGCTGAGAGCATGCCATTGCACTCCACCCTGGGCATGACAGAGAGACTCTGTCTCAAAAAAAAAAAAAAAAAAAAAAAAAAAAAGATACCATGAAGGGACTTTAAGACTGGCCACTTCCCAAATCCCACAGGATAAGTATCCTGTAAAAATTTGCTTTTGTTGATAGGTACGTGAAAACTCCAGGATTCGACATATCTACTTTTCCTGTAATTTTTACTAAACAAAGGTGCCTTTAAAGGTTCTCTAACCTGCTATAATTGAACTCTCATGGAGCTTGAGACTGTGGAACACAAACTCTTTTAAGACTTTAGCTGCCGTGGAATTCTTTTATGCTTTCACAGCCCCACTATCCAATACAGTAGCTACTAGTCACATGTGGCCATTTCAATCAGATTGAATTTAAACGAAGTAAAATTTAAAATGCCTTCTCAATCACATTAGCTATATACATGGCAGGTGCTCAAAAACAACCTGTGGCTCTGGCACTAGGCAGCACAGTTTTCTCCTCACTGCAAAAAGTTCAATTCCACAGCACACTGCTCTAGAGAAACCCAGGAAATCTTCCCTTTTTGACCGACTTTTTAAAAAGACAGCTTTAGTGCAACATTATTGATATGATAAATTACACATATTTAAAGCATACAACTTGATAAATTTGGACATTTGTGTACACTCATTAAGTTTCCTTTTTCTTCTTCTTTGTAATCTCTGTTTCTTCCCCAGGTGATCATTTATTTGCTGCCTGCCACTAGAGATTAGTTTTATATAAACAAAATAACATAGTATGTGACCTAAGGGGAAGCGGCTTCTTTCACTCAGCATTAAGTATTTTGAGATTATATACACGCTGCTCTATGTAACAATAGTTCATTCCTTTTCATTGCTGATTAGAGTCTTTCCTTTGACTATATCACAATTTGTTTATCCATTCTCTTATTGATGAAGATTTAGTTTGTTTCCAGTTTGGGGCTCTTCTAACCCAAACTGTTATGAACATTAATATAAAAGCCTTTCTAAGAGCTATGCTTTCTTTTCTCTTGTGCAAATACCTAAAACTGAAATAGTTGGATCATATAGTAGGTCTACGTTTAACTTTTTAAAAAACAACCAAACTGTCTGCCAATGTCATAGTATTTCACATCCCAACTATCAGCGTATGAGAATTTCAGACCAATTTTGAACTGAGCTCTTGACCCATGGGGAAATTTACTCTAACCAGTTCCTATAAATCTACAAAGCAATTCTACAGCTATCTAAAATTTTGACTCCCAAGTCTTTCTCTTTTCACAGTTACATAATTCTCGCCAAAAATCATTGTCATAAAAGGAGTACTAGGAAAACAGTGTGGCGATTCCTCAAGGATCTAGAACTAGAAATACCATTCGACCCAGCCATCCTATTACTGGGGATATACCCAAAGGATTGTAAGTCATGCTGCTATAAAGACACATGCACACGTATGTTTATGGCGGCACTATTCACAACAGCAAAGACTTGGATCGACCCGAACGTCCATCAGTGACAGACTAGATTAAGAAAATGTGGCACCTATACACCATGGAATACTATGCAGCCATAAAAAAGGATGAGTTCGTGTCCTTTGTAGGGACATGGATGCAGCTGGAAACCATCATTCTCAGCAAACTGTCGCAAGAAAGAAAACCAAATACCGCATGGTCTCACTCATAGGTGAGAACTGAACAATGAGATCACTTGGACACAGGAAGGGGAACATCACACACCGGGTCCTACTGTGGGGATGGGGGAGGAGGAGGGATAGCATTAGGAGATATATCAACATAAATGATGAGTTAATGGGTGCAGCACACCAACATGGCTCATGTATACATATGTAACAAACCTGCATGTTGTGCACACGTACCCTAGAACTTAATTAAAAAAAAAAAAAAAAAAAAGGAGTACTAGGCTCTCACCAGAAGAAAACAAGAAGAGGGTTCCTGAAAGGAAGCAGCATCCATTGCCTCTCATCAGGGAACAGCCTGCACTTCCGGTCTGGTGCACCACATGGGGAACAGCCCACCTCAGCAGAAAATGGACACTGGATTTCAAGCCACAAGCTGTCTGAAACACGAAACCATCATCATGCCTTCAATTATCTGAATGGTATGATAATTGAATGGTACTGTCAATTATCTGAATGGTATGAGAGCCAAACTTAAAATTCTCTCTGAAATCATCTTTTTATAATCCTAGTCTGCCCTCCTTCACTAAAAAATGCTATGCTACTTAAGACGCAACATTATTTTACTTCATGCTGGAATGGAATACACCATTTATATTAGTTACTATTAGCTGGCAAGGATTGAGGAGACAAACTAAAATGGTAGGTTTTTAGTAGCATTATGTATCAGCATTTTTACAGCTGATTGAAAATGAACCCCTGCTAAACGACTGCAGTTAGTCTGCAAATCCAGTTTACTTCAGTGAAAGCAAACAGTTGCCCTGTGAAGCGGGTTGGCAAAAAAGCAGTTCACTTTGGCACACCAAGGATTGTACCTGGCTGGTATACAGTCCCAGCTGCATTAACTGAGGCATCAGGGTATCGACCATGATCTGAGTCTGCAACTTTCAATGCGTCACGGAGGTCAGCAAAACTGGAAGAAGGTGACCGAGCATAGTAGCCTTAGTAACTTCTTCCAAGCCTTTTAACCTACAGAAAGTTCAAGAAAAACACTCAGCCTAAGCAATGCCCAACCACCACATGAGAAGCAACTAATGTCATCTTTATCTGACAAATTCTTTTAAACTACATCTCCTTAAACTAGTTAAGCACTTTCAGCAATAGTAATTCAGCCCACAATTTCCCACCTTCTGCCACTGATGAAGAGGGAAAGAGCAGAAAGCTATTAATGGACAAGCTATTAATAGATACCATCTCACACCTATCAGAATGGCTATAATTAAGCAGAAAAAATAACAGATTCTGGAAAGGTCGTGGAGAAGATGGAATACTTACACAGTGCTAAAGATGTGAATTTGTTCAGTCAGTGTGGAAAACAGTGTAGGAATTTCTCAAAGATCTTACAAAAGAAGTACCATTTGACCCAGAAATCCCATTTTTGGCTGTATACCCAAAGGAAAATAAATCTTTCTACATGATTAATGCGTGATTCAGATATATATATATGTGTGTTAATCACAGCACTATTCACATTGGCAAAGACATGGAATCAACCGAAATGCCCATCGACAGTAGACTGGATAAACAAAAAGTGGTACACATACACCAATGCAGCCATAAAAAAAGAACAAGATCCTGTCCTTTGCAGCAACATGGATAAATCTGGAGGCCATTATCCTAAGCGAACAGTCATAGGAACAGAAAATCAAATACTGTACATTCTCACTTATTAGTGAGAGTTAAACACTGAGAACACATGGTCACAAAGAAGGCAGCAACAGACACTGGGGCCTACTTGAGGGTGGAGGATGGGAGGAAGGAGAGGATTAAAAAACCACCAATTGGGTACTATCCTTATTATCTGGGTGACAAAATAGTCTGTATGCCAAACCCTCATAACATGCAGTTTACCTATATTAACAAACCTGCACATGTACCCCTGAACCCAAAAGTTAAAAAATAAAAACCCCCCTCCAAAAAAGGAAGTGCCTTAAGTGCTTTAGAAATATTATCTTATTTGATCTAAACAATAACCCTGCAAGGTAGACTATTTTCCTCTTCACTTATGATGACCACAGAGATGTTAAGTTAACTTGTCCAAGGCCACACAAGTTACCAATGGAGGAACAGTGTTGGGGGTTGAGTTCAGACAATGCAGTTCCAGAGTCCGTGTTCCTAATCATTAAGCTATGCTGTGCTGTTTCTCAAAAACTGTAACAGGTCACACACACATGGCATTTACTCCATGCCAGGAATTGCTCTATGCACTGACACATACATAACAATGTAACCCCCAAGGTCACCCATGGGAGGCAGTACAGTGCTCAGGAAGGCTCCCCCATTGAAGTTTGGAAAGGAAGGGGTGGGAGGAGCAGACTCTCAATCCCACACTGATGAACACCAGTTTCTTAGACACTCACTTCATTGACTGTTTCTAAAACATTCAACTTCTTAATGGCACTATTTCTTGTTTTTTTTTTTAATTCCTATTTCATCAGTTATGGAAGATTTAATGGTATTATCACAATGGTAAGTACCAGTTATAATTAACAAACCGGTTTGGGAGCAAGGCTGACTCCTGGTGAGCCTGCAGCTCTCCCCTGGTGAGAGCAGCAGTGCACAGATGTATCAAGCAGAGCCGACCAGCCCCGTGGGTTCAGTGGGCCATGGCACTGGCCTGGACATTTTATTGAGTGAATGGAGAGATCTAATCCATCTGGCAAGTCAGTTAAGAGAGCTTCTACCATTTTTGTTGACATGTAACACTGTAATAAAACTCACTTGTAACACTGTAAAGCTCTGTAAAAAAATTTTAAACTAGCCTATTTCCTTAAAGGAGATGTTAAGCAATTTGTGCTCCCTTGAACCTCTTCATTTTTGCTTTTAGGACAGTAGAGCTCAGTAACACAATCAGTTACTAAACACAATCAATTACTAAAATAAATATTATCAACAGTAACCAAAAAATTCAACTTAAGGCTATCATACCCGAACTCAAATATCCAGAAGCCAATTTAAGTAATCCATGCCTCCTTGGCAAGAGTGTATGGATAATACCTTTTCTTTGTGATAGTAAAACCTACCTATTTTCTCACCTTACCCAGTATCAGTAATCAACTACTGCATCAACATACTGCATAGAAATCTTGAGCTCTTAATTGAAAGGTACACCAGAGTTATATCTAAATCATTGGCTACAATGATCTAAAACACAGTTACATCTAAATCTTTTGTAACTATGATCTAAAACCACTTCAGTTACATCCTAGTATTAATCACAGGATGAAAACTCTTACATTACCTTTACTTTCAGAACTATAGCCAGTGTTGCTATCTTGTGCAGGCAACATGTCTTCATAACCCCACAATACTATGTGTTTTCCCCCAAGTAAACAGGAGGGAGATCCAGACGCCCCTTCCAAAAGCAACAGCTTGGAGAACAGAAGAAAAATCAAAGACACTTAGACCATTCAATTCAGCAAGAAGTGAACCTGCCACCCCAAAGGGCAGAAAACAAAATCTTAAAATTAGTATTTTATATATTAATCTCAAGTTATTGCAATATTTTTAAACAAAAAATTACAAAACCATGTTTCCAAAAATGTTACAATAAAACTATATCTGTGTGTAAAGTGTATAGATTTTATGTGTACATCTGTGTGTGTGAGAGAGGGGGTTATGAATTAGGAAGCATATGTACCAAAACATTAGAAATATTTGGGTAACGAGATTATGAATGATTTTGACTTTCTTCTTTACACCCTTAATATATCATCATCTCAAAATTTACAATCAGAATTCATTATAAGCTATTGTATTTTTATTTATGTATTTATCTCTTTATTTAAGGATACGTTGTCTTACTCTGTCAGCCAGGATAGAGAGTGCAGCTGCGCTCTCAGCTCACTGCAACCTCAGCCTCCCAGGCTCAAACAATCCTCCCACCTGAGCCTCCTGAGTAGCTGAGACCAAAGTTAAGTTTTCCTCGGTTTAAAGTAACTTGTTATACTTATGTTGTTTAGCCTCATGGTAACTAGAAAACAAAAATCAATAAACACCCTAAACATAAAAAGTAAGGAATTAAAACACACACTACCAGAAAAATACTACTTCACTACAAATAAAGACAGGAAGGAAGGCAAGGAGGAAAGAAAAGAAAGGAAGAAAAAGAGATCAGAAAGAAGGGAAACAGGGAAGGGAGAAATAAAAGAAAAAAGAGTAGCAAAACCACCATAAAACAAGTAAAAAATGGCAGTAGTCTGTTTTTACCTGTGATAATCCTGAATATGAATGAATTAAATTAAGACACAGTGGCTGAATGGATTAAAAGACCCAGTTTTATACTGCCTATGAGAAACTCAGTTCACCTTTAAAGACATACACAGACTGAAAGTGAAGGGATGATAAAAGATACCCCATACAAATGGAAACAAAAAAAGCAGGAGTAGCTATACTTAGATAAAATAAACTTTAAGTCAAAAAATAGAAAATAAAAATTATATAATGAGAAAGAAGTAAACAGCTGCCTAACAATTATAAGTGCATGTGCAACCAACACTCAAGCACCTAAATACAGATGCAAATATTAACAGGCCTTAAAGGACAGATGGACTGCAATACAATAGAGTACCTCAACACTCCACTATCATCAGCACCCCACTACCGTCAATGGACAGATCATCCAGACAACAAAACGTCATCAGCTAAACTGTACTCTATACAGAATGGACCTAACAGACATTTTCACAGTTTTCCACTCCACAACTGCACAAAGCACATTCTACTGAGTAGCACGTGGAGTATTCCACAGGACAGATTATGTGTCAGGCCAAAAAACAAGTCCCAACACATTTTTAAAAACTGAATTCATATCAGGTATCTTTTCTGACCTGAGTGGAATCGTGTTAGAAATCAGTAACAGGAAGAAACTTTAAAAACTGTACAAATACATGGAAATTGAAATACATGCTCATGAGCCAATAAATAAAAAAAAGGAAATTAAGTATTTATTGAAACATAACAATAGAAACACAATAAATCCTGTGGGATGCAGCAAAGGCAATTCTAAGAGGAAAAGTGCATAGCTATAAATGCCCACATCAGAAAAATAGAAGGATCACAAATAGCCATCCTGACAGTACACCTCCAGTAATGAAAAAAACAAAAATGCTAGAATTAGTGGAAAAAATACCATAAAGATTAGAGAAAAAATTTTAAAAATAGAAACAAAAAATACAAAAAGTCAATGGAACAAAGAGCTGGAGTGTTTTAGAAAAAATAAATTCAAAATTGACAAGCTTTGACTAGACTAAAGATATAAAGAAGAAAACAAAATCGTAGATAAAAAAGGAGACATTGCAATTGATAACGCAAAAGTATGAAGGACTGTGAGATTTAGAAGTGAATAAATTTCTAGACACAACGAATTCCCAAGATAGAATGATAAAAAAATAAAAATAAAAAAATCTGAATAAACCAATAATGAGTAATGCAATTAAAGCGGTCATAAAAAGCCTCCCGGCAAAGAAAAACGCTAGAATCATGGTTTCTCTGCTAAATTACCAAACATTTTAAAAAGAGATAATACCAATTTGACTCAAAATATTCCCCCTAAAATAAAGAGGAAGGATGGCTTCGAAACTTGTTCTATGAGGACAGCGTGACCCTGGTACAAAAACCAGACCGGGACACAACACAAAAAGAAAACCACAGGCAAATATCCCTGATAAACATAGGTGCAAGAAATTCTCAACAAAATAGTTGGAAATTGCATTTGACAACACAATAAACAGATAACCTGCCATGATCAAGTGGGTTTCATCCCAGGAATATGAGGACGATTCACTAAACACAAATAAATGTGCGACATCACATTCAGTAAATCAAGAACGAAAACCATATAATCATTTCAGTAGATGCTGAAAAAAATAAAAATCAACATTCCTTCATGATAAAAACAACATGAGTAACAGAAGGAACATATCTCAGCACAATATAAGCCATATATGAGAAACCCACAGCTAACATAATCAATAGGGAAAAATTAAAAGCTCTTCCTCTAAGCTCTGGAACAAGCGTGGCTACTTTTACACCACTTTTATTCATCATAGTACTGTAAGTCCTAGCTAGAGCAATTAGGAGAATGCAATAAAAGGCATCCAAATTGGAAAAAAGGGGAGTCAAATTGTGTCTGTTTCCAGGTGACATGAACATATATAGAGAGAACCCTAAAGATTCCACAAAAAACCTACTAGAAATGAGAAATTTAGTCAAGTTCCAAGATACAATATCAATATATAAAAATGAGTAGCACTCCCATGCACCAGTAGTGAAATATCTAAGAAAAAAATCAAGAAAGCTATTTTATTAGAAAAAAAGATATCTAGGGATAAAGTTACCCAAAAAGGCAAGAAATCCCAAAATGAAAACTATA